TTAAAACTTATTTTTTATTAATATAGCCTAATCTCTTATATATAAAATTATATTTTATATTTATAATAAACTAGTTTAATAAAAAGTATTATAAAATTATAATATTTATTAATTAGTAATATTATTATTTTTAAAATTATAATATTATACTTTTAATAAACCTTTATAATTATAATTATTTTATTTTTTTATTATATAAGTAATCCTTTTATAAAGTTATATTAAATATTTTTTTATTTAAGGACTTTTAGGCTTATTATATTAATAATACCTTAAAAAGTATAAGTAATATTCTTAAATTTAATTATTTTATTATTTAGCAGTAAAATAATAATAATACTTATTTTTTTAATTTTTAATATACTTTTATTAAATATAATTATTATATTAGCTTTATTTAGTATTTAAATAAAAATAAACTACTTTAAGTTATTAAAATAATATAAGTTATAGCTTAAGTTAATAATAATATTATTTTAATTAATATTATATTTAGTTAAAGTAAAGTTATAATTTAAAATATTATTTTATATAATTTTAATAATATTATTTTTATTATTTTTAAAAAAATTAAGCTTAATAAGAATATTTAAAGTAATTATTATATTAATAAATAATTATTTTACTTTTATAATATTTAAAGTGCTTTTAAATAGTCTTTTTTTTATTATAAGCTTAAATTTATTTTTTTTATTATTTTTAAATTTTTATTTTTATAAATAAAATCCTTAATATAAGTTTAAATAAAATTAAAAATAATAATCCTTTAATTAAAGCTTAAGATAAAGTCTTTAATAAGTATTAAGTATATAAGGCTTTTTATTTATTAAAATAATATAGCTATGTTTTAACTTTTTAATTTTATTATTATTAAACTTACTTTATCCTTACTATTTATTATTATTTAATAAGAAAGGGGTAGGCTACTTAAAGGTACTAAATATCTTCTTAATCCTTACTTTTTTATTTACTTATAAGTAAAAGAACTTAATAAATTTATCTTTTTTAACTTTCTTACCTTAATAAAAATCTATAGTTTAATGCTTATATTAAGTCTTATTAATATATTTAAAGCTTATAAAAGCTATAGTTATAAACTAAGCCTTTAATACTTTAAAATATTAATATATAATATAAGTTTAAGCTTTTATTAATATATTAATATATACTTTTAAAAACTTAAATTAGCTATATTTTAAATAATTAAACTTTTAAATAATAATAAAAACTTTTTTTATTAAGGCTTTTAAAATAATAATTTTTATTATATTAAGAAGTTTTTTTATTATTAAGTCTTTTATTATTAAGTTATTACTATTAAAGCCTTTATAATTAAGCTTTATATAAATCTTTATTAATAGGTTATTTAAGATAAATTTTATTATTAATATATTATTTTTTTTAAGTATTTTTTTTTAACTTAAATAGCTTTTTTAATTATAATATTTATTCTCTTAATAATACCTTAAAAACTTATTAAGTATATATTAATTTTAAGTATTTATTTTTAAGTATTTTAATTATTAAAGCCTTTTAGTAATATTATTAAAAAAAAGAAGTTAATTTATAAAGTTTTAAAAATATTATTTTTTATAAATATTAGCTATATTATTTTAAGCTATATTATTTATAAATTTAAATTAAAATTATTATAATTAAAGTTTTTATTTTTAATAATAAATTTAAGGTTATTTTAGCTTAAAGGGTTAAGTAATAATTATTTTATTAATATATAAGTAAAATAAAATCTTTAAGTTTTTATAAATAAAAAAGAAAAAGAAAGTTAATCTCTTAAATTAAAAAAAAGGTAATTTATATTAAATTAAGATATAACTTATATTAAGTTAAAGGTATAATAATAACTTTATTTATTACTAACTTAAAGGTTTAGGTATAATTTTTTTATAATTTTTAAAAAAGCATAAGGCTTATAATTTAATAAAAGGTAATTATAAACTCTCTTTTTTTTATAAAAGACTAGTTAAAAAAAAAGAGAAAGGAAAATAAATAAATAGCTATAAATGCATTATAGGCTTAAGGCCTGTAGTGTTATAGGGTGGTCCTGAGTTATTAAGGTGGGGACCACTTAACAGATACTAGAAGTGATTATCACTTCCAATAACTATTGCAATATATATATCGTCTAATTGTTCAGGCTCCTAGGCGTATACGATAAATCAGGTGTCTGCTAGTATCGTACTATATGTCTATTCTTACTAGATGCTTCGCTTTCTCTCATGGATAAACTGTAGATCAATAAAGCAAGCCTTTACTCTGTATTGCTAAAATTGAGGCGAATAGCCAGATTGGGGAGCTGCTTAGACGAGCCATTTACATAGCACGAGCCGCGTCAAGAGGAGAAAGTGGTGCAGACCGGTTTGTCGAGAGACCCCTGTCGTACACATAAGGTACCTATGTTCACCATCGTGGCTGTGTCCTTCAGCTGCCAACAAACCAATCCGAAGTCCAATCAGTCTTGCAGTTACGGATCCTAGGTACATGTCTTGCGCCAAACAGCCAACACCAGCCAGGTGCAATCTATGCAGTCAGTCTACCTTGGGTAGTTATCCCTCCCCAGAGCCTCGCCATCCCTGATCAACCCACAACCCTGGCGAGAAAGCCTGCAATGCCTCCAACAGCGGCTGTAACCCCTCCCACGGCTTGGACGATGCCCGTCAGGATCCCCACGCCATATCCTCCAGCTGCGGCACTCTGCATCACCGCAAAGCCACTTCCGGCGGCAACATTTCCGATACCAGCCTGGGTTCCCGAAGCAATCGAGGCTGAATGGTAACATGGTGGTCAGTTGGGATATATATCAACTAGGAGTACTGAACAAACTCCAAGAGTCTCTCGACAAGGTAGTTTCAAGGGCCGTGGGAGAGGTCTCTTACCTGCGGCGACGCCGCTTGATGTGAAGCCAAGCAGATGGGCCACGCCCAGAATCGGGCCCGTGATGATGCCAGGCGCTGCGGCAAGGACGACTCCAGCCGCTGTCACCGCCAGCGGCACCTTGTTCTCCTCGACCACGGTGGCAACCTCACGTTCAGGGTTAGCGCTCAGGAATTCCAACCAAGCACCAGGATTCAACGACAGTTGCCAGCTCACCTTCTGACCGACGGGCCCTTGCACTATTTCTCCAACGTTTTCGCGCAGTTTCTCCGTTGCGTGTTGAAAGTTCTCGGGGGTGGCGTGCTGAGAACATGCTCTGTTAGCCAACTGGAGGGCAAAAGAAGGGCTCTCTTGATCGTACTTCACGGATGTGCTGCGCTGCAGTATCAATACCACCTCGGGCAATCTCGACACCACGGTTGATGTTCTCTTGGTTGACGTGCTGATTACAACTGATGAGCAAGTTGAAGATATGGCAAAGGGGAGGGTCTACTGGTTACTTGACGGATTTGTTCTGTAGCAAATCGGACGCCTTCGCCCGCGATCTGGGCGCCGCGGTTGATGTTCTCGGGAGTGACGTGCTTGTCATGCAGTGAGCCAGCTGCATATGATGCAACGTGGAATTGCTGGAAGCCATATACTTACTTGACGGATTTGTTCTGTAGCAAATCGGACGCCTTCGCCAGCGATCTGAGCGCCACGGTTGATATTCTCAGCAGTGACGTGCTGAAAATCGTCAGTGAGCTGAAGCAATGTCTTCATGTTGCCATGATGTGTAGATACCCTCTGAGCCTGTTCAACGGCTATATCAATACCGCTCCGAACTATTTGAGCACCACGTTCAATGTTTTCCGGCGTTACATGCTATGACCCGTCAGCTGGAGGGGAGCGCTGACGAAGACGGGAGATCCGATCAAAGATACCTGGTTCACCTGCTCCACGGCGTGCCCGACGCCATCTCGAACGGCCTGGACGGCGATGTTGATGTTCTCTGGGGTGATGTGCCTGGCAGCCTCTTCTTGAGCGCGCGCCAGTCCTTCACCAATGAGCTGCCAGAAGGGTGGCATTGTCCGTTGCTTCAGGAGAGCAGGTAAAAGAATGGCTGGAAATTGAAGGTGCCAATGGAATACTTGTTACCCAGCAGGCGGAGAGGCCGTTGCGAGGACGTCAACGCAGTTTGGTGAGCCAGAAGAGAGAGAGAAAGAGAGAGAAGAAAGAAAGCGGGCGCGGGAGGGGGTTTTCTCTTATGCGGGTGGCCGACAGTGCGATTGGTTGGCACCTACATGTATGTATATGCACGCCCACGTGAGGATGAGACAGTTGCTCGCAACAATGGGAGATTGTTAGTTGTTAGATTGAGAATATGATATCTCACCAATTATTTGGTGAATCGACTGACAGCATTAATTCAGGGACTATGTGGAGGCAAAGGGGTATTACACGATGGCTTCAACCGTCGTTGATGGAAGTCTGGTCTGCAAGTGGCTGTTCTCTTTACCTTCTCTCTCGGTCTTTGATTAGCGTTTTGATGTCTTCACCATACGTCTCTATACATGCACAGATGAGAACTCGATCAAGACCGTACCCCAGGGAATCAGATCCGAAGCATAGAAAGACCAGATGTTTGCGGGCGTAGTGGCAACTAGGTTCTGGCTACCTTGCTCTAGTTTTCGGTGGCACATCTGCAGCCGACTACATGCATGTTGATGACTCTGAGGTGAACTGCCGGGCCGTTTGCATCCCTTATCCATTACCTTGTTCTCTCTTCGAACACGTTCATCACCCCCATAGCCACCTTGACATCTGCCCGCCATTGGACAGCCCAGGCTCAACATGAACTGCAACGAGCTCCAGGAAAACAGCGTCGGGGAGCGGTACATGATCAAGCGGCCCAAGGCACTCCAATGGTTTCACAACGGCCAATTGGTCAAGCAGAGCGACGAGGAAAGACAGGCCGGCCGCTTTGAGCTTTTCCTCGATCTGCTATGTAATACCCAGCCCTCATTCTCACCCAAGACAACCATCGAGGATTAAATATCAGCTGACGAGCGCGTACAATAGACGTCGCCATCGTCGCCAACTTCAGCGACGACCTCGCCGAGCATCCAGACGGAAAGCATCTCGCCAAGTACATACTCATCTTTGCCCCAGCATGGCACATATGGGTCGACCTCCGCGAGATCATGAACTCGTACTACACGGACGACCTCCTCCAGCGACTCGTCATCCTCTGGGTCATGGCGCTGCTTGTCCTGTACGCCAACAATGCTCGTCTCGTTGATGAGGACCTGTCCGCGATGCAAACTACCGCCGGAGCTTATGTTGTTGCTCGGTTCACTACCATGTGTGCGTTTCTCGTGTGTTCTTTTGCGAGCTATCAGCATCGCGCGCAGGCTCGAATCCTGGCCTTCTTCATGAGCATCGGCCTCTTGATTACCATCCCGCTCTTCTTTGAAGACGTCACCATCGAGGCCAAGATTGCCGTCGTTGCAGTCTTAATCTTTTATCAGGAAGTTACCTGGTCAATTACATTGAGCCCATGGCTCAAGCGCAGACTCAAGCTCACATACAGCACCGCCGTCGACATTGCCCACGAGATCGACCGTATGGCGGCCTTCTTCATCATCATCCTCGGCGAGTTCGTCTACAGCGTCATTGTCGGAGACCCAGCAGGCGTTGGCCTGACAAAAGGCTATGCGAAGGCTGTCTTTACGCTCATCATTGCTTTTTGTCTCAATTGGATCTATGTTAGTGGTGACGGGAGCTTGGAGGCGACGCATCCGATCCGACGATCTGCGTGGACGGCTTTTGCCTTCTTCTTGCTTCATTTACCGCTCTCAGCGTCGTTCCTCATCGGCGGGCACATTGCTGCTATTAGCACACGGCTGGATGAATTCGAGCAAGGCCAGCGGTGGCTTTTGGGAGGAGGGCTAGGCGTGGGGATGTTTTGCCTCTGGATCTACGGCATGTTATATCGGACGCATGACGAGGACTGCTTGATTCTGTCAAAGACGCCTCGCGTAGGGATGCGGTTGGTTGTTGCCATCATTCTGGTTGCGTTGCCTGCGACGAATGATGGGTTGTATACGACGAGCTTCATGGCTGTTGTCATGTCGCTTTTTGCGTTTTTGGTTATTTGGGAGACTGTTGGAGGCCTTCTCAAGGGGGCCCAGGTCTTTGAGCCTTGGACGGATCGACACGCGCCAGCGAGTGATACCGAGGAAGAGGAGAGGTTAGTATGAGGTCAAGCGATGAACTCGCTGGTGATGTCAGAATAGTTGCAAAAGGGGTCATGAACTTCATTTAATGCTATAACAACAAAGGAAAAAGAGGCTGCCTCGGTGTGTAACAATACGCCAAACTGACACTGAACAATCCATAAGTGCTTCTCAAGCCATCCATACTCGCAACCCAACAGCGACACGCAGATGATCAGCTTGCCGTCCTCCACTTAGGTATGCAATGACACTCTGCTCTCCGTAATGCCACAGCAGTAACCTCAATCATCATTCTCGTACGTAGTTGGCTCTATATCACGAATATCTCCCCGTTTGCTAGGCTGAATCTCTGCAACCAATCTTCACCCTTCTCAAGCGGCATCCCGAGGTGTTCTTTGAGAAAGCGGTGCGCACGCTCCAGATTTCTGCTATAGCTGCTCATCGCTTGGAACCGGCTGAGGATCCAGCGTTGATGAACCACGCTGTTGGTCTCCAGGGCCACAATGAAAAGCGGCCATGCGACTCTAATGGTGCCTTCGACTCCCTGGTGCTTATCAGCCTGAATGGCCAAGTCGACAATGGCTGCTATATGAGCCTCTGGTACAATTTCCATCTTTGCAGTTGTCCCATTTCTCCGCAGCACGCGCGTCAGTTCGAGCTTTGCAGCGTGATATATCGGGATGAAAGCACGGATATTGGCCACCAGACGATGTGAGTTATCGGTCGATAGAGACAGGTCGGACGCCACCTCGAGCAACTCTCCATATCGCAAATCAACCTGTCTAAAGGCTGCCTCAACAGCTGGTAAACGGAGCTTGAGCTCGTCTGCGCCAAGCTTCGCCAGATTAGCCACCATGCTTCGAAGCTGCATGGATGCGCATAGAAAGGCGAAAATGTCCCGATTCTCAACGTCATCCAGCAGTTCGACTTGAGGATACGCATCTCCCCACATTGAGCGGTATAAGGAGTTTGAGTATCTATGCAGCACATCAAACCCCGAAATGGACGAAGCATCTTCTGGCCCCATGATGTCTTTCAGCTCGCTGTTGAACTGGCCGCCGAGCCCAAAGCTGGCGGCCGTAGCATCGCAGAGAGCGATCCAGACCAGGAGCCTGATTACGAAGAGCGACAAGCCAGGCTCTTCTGACTGGCTTTGCGGCTGTATCCTCGCCAGCACTGGCGTGCCTTGCCATCCACGCTTGGCTATCTGTTCTGATAGGCGCTGGCAGCGATGCCTTACGATCAAGGCCGCTCCGGCAAGGTGGTTTGACAGACCAGAGCATGTTCCGTCTCCGTACTTTTGTTCGTAGACCAGCATCAGATACAAGACTGCGCAGATGGGATCCAGCTCAAGTTGCCGACCATCGTCTGCATTTCCGATGGCATCGGCCAAGAGGCCGAGAGCGGCCGAATAGTGTTGAACTGGTGTCCATTTATTACCATCTCGTCCTACCAGCTGAGTTGAGCCATCCGATCCTTCTGAAGTGCTACTGCGCCGAAATTCAATCTCGTGGCCTCCAAGAGCCAGCAACGCGTGCATGACCATTGGCTCATCCTGTGCCAAGGTGAAGATGATTGAAAAGAGCGAGTAATCCGGATTCTTGGTATGATGAAGCCGCGCAAACGTCGTCCGAAAATACCGAATCGCCTCATGATCGGCCGAGGTGAGATTCAGCGAGCTGGCACTGCTCGGAAACTCAGGAAGCCGAGTAGGAAGAGCCAGAGCCCTCGTCAACGCTGCGCGCTGCGCCCACGTCGGCAGTGACTTGGAGCTCTCGAGGGCCATTATGTAGCCCCTGGAGATGGCCAGGAGGTCGTTGTGCTTCATCCTGGGCTCGTAGTCGCAGAGGCGTCTTAGACGGACGCAGCGCTCGCAGCGGGGCCGGACTTCGTCGCATTTGACTTTCTTGATGCGGCATGTGTAGCAGCCCTTCTTGGAGCGGCGGCTCTTCTGAGGAGGAGGAGGATGAGGAGGAGGAGGGCTCTTGGTGGAGATGGTTTGATCCATGGCGAGCCACCGAGACCTTGGTTGGTTTGGGAGTTTGATACAGTATGTCTTGCTGGTTGTCTGACGGGGCGGGTTGACTCGTGTGTTTTGCAGGGATATCTGATGTCTGACAGCTTCACCTATAGAAGCTAGGACGCACCTCTGTTAGTTGGATGAGAAAGAGGAGTAAGTCAATGCTGTAAATGCCTTCGTCGGGCCCTTTTGTGGGCCGACGAGATCATCTTTTGTCTCTAACATGTCTAAGTAAGAGGAGGTCTGTGATGAAGCCGCCGTTTACATGGCCACGACGTGCGGCTGTGTTTGCCGACGGTCGGCAGCCTCAGCCGCTGTCACTATTTGATCGGATCTGGGGCAGTAAGACGCTTATATGCCTTGGCTCTCTGCCTTGAGTGCGCCACACGAGAATCAAAAGAGATGGGGGGGGTTCAAACTTCGCAGAGGCTGAGACTCCGCACGACGCTAATAACTAACACGAAGCCGAGGGTCGCTAATCGGGGGATGGAGATTCAGTGAGCAGAGATCCAATCAAGAGGATGAGATTGTGTTAGCCGATATGAAGCTCCCACTTTTGTACAGCAACAGACGATGACATCGTCTTGCGGGCATGCGTGTATCTGCATATAAAACTGCTCAGTCTTCACTTCATGATCCAGCTTCAACAACAAACCCCGAGCTCTACAGTCTTTTGATTCACGTATTGGCTCACTTGGATCATCAGCATGGCGAACAAGGTTGACTTTGAACAAGCGCGGCAGCTCGTCAACTCCCGCCTCGACGAGCTCAACTCGCAGCTCCGCATCATCAACAAGTCGATCCACGAGAACCCCGAGCTCGCCTACCATGAATTCCAGGCACACGACATAATCACCGCATTCTTAGAGAAGCTGGGCTTCGATGTGAAGCGCAAGACTTGGGGCCTGGACACCAGCTTCGAGGCAACAATCGGCGCGGGAGGGCGCCAGGTCGTCGTCTGCTGCGAGTACGATGCTCTGCCTGATATCGGACACGGCTGCGGCCACAATCTGATTGCGACCTCCTCGCTGGCTGCGTTCCTCGGTGCAGCTCATGCGCTGTCTCAATTGGGCGCTCCCGGGCGATTGAGGATCCTGGGCACCCCTGCCGAGGAGGGAGGCGGCGGCAAGGCAAAGCTGATTGACGCGGGTGCGTTCAGTCCGGCGGAGGACATTGCCGCGTCCATCATGGCTCACCCGATATCCGTCAATCTCATGAACTACGGGGGCAGAAGCGGCATCTCCGGAATCGCTGGGTTCAACCTCATCGCAAGCCACAAGTTTCGGGTCGAGTTCCGAGGAGTTCCGGCACACGCAGCTGGTGAGCCCTGGAACGGCGTCAATGCACTGGATGCTGCTGTTGCGGCGTACAACAACATCTCCATGCTGCGTCAGCAGATTCGTCCTGACGAGAGGATTCATGGTGTAATTGAGGTTGGCGGCACGGTGCCCAATGTCATTACCGACTATACGCGCATGAACTGGTATATCCGGGCGCCTACCAGTCAACGCGGAGAACTGCTTGTCAAGAGGGTCAAGGCCTGTATAGAGGCAGCGGGAGCGGCAACTGGTTGCGAGGTCAACTATATCCCGTGAGTATTGCCCAACCTCTACCCATACAGCTTGAGTGCTCTTACTGATCCATTGAGCAGGGCCGCGACGTACGAGCACGTCATCTCCAATCCCACTCTCTGCAAAGCATACATCGAAGACATGAGCACGCTGGGCGAAAGGATCGAGGTCACTCTACCCGAGAGCTTCAACGCCTCGACCGACATGGGCAACGTGACACACGTGGTGCCTGGCATTCACGGCGGCTTTGGCATCCAGACGGGGCCAAACGTGTCGCTGCATAGCCGTGAGTTTGCCGCTGCTGCGGGCACGGATGAGGCGCACGAGGTGGCCATGAAGAGCGGCAAGGGCATGGCCATGTTGGCCTTGAGGGTTCTGCTCGATGACGAGGTTGCCGAGAAGGCGAGGGCGGATTTCGAGAAGAGGTATGAGCAGGAGAAATGATGATGTCAACAGCCATTATTCACCTGAATCAAAACGAACTCGTATGCCGCATGTGTGTGCGATGATCGAATCTGTCAGTGTGTCTGTGTGATACGTGCGCCAGTATCAACTCATAGGTATCTCAAGATCAGCGCTGTTTTCTGCCTCGGAAAGGCACTGCCCTGCGCCCACAACACTGTCGACATCCCAAGATTGCAGTATCGACTCACGTACGCTCGCAGTACCATTGCAGTGGCATTCTCTAACTTGCTCCTCACATTACACAGCCTTGGCCACTTGACGCGGCATATCCTTGGGTCGTAACCCAGGAACAACTGAGATACAGTCGGAACAAAGCCGCAAAGATCAGCAAAACCCCCCCATTAAATGGAATCATGATGCATCGCAGCACCTGAAGCAAAGCGCATGTTACATGCATTTCCCAAAGCGTCGACCGAGGCTCTTCATATTGGCTTGTTGCCAACTGAGGCTTCTTCCAATAAAATGCAGCCGTACATCCCCGTGTTTGTTGGTGGACACCATTTCTTCCCGCCCGAGGCTAGAATGGGACGAGCCGATGGACCCCTTCAGTCTAGGATCTGGGAATCTCCATTAGTTGAGGCGAAATCGCTGGGCGTTTGAGGCGCCTTTGCCGCTGGTTGACGATGCCGGTGCGGCATTAAACCTCGATTTTCTACAAGGGGTTGCTTTGATAGTCTGTTGCTGAGTCTGTTTTGCTGGTATCGTCTCTGAAACCATGTATAATGCGAATGAAATCTAATTCACGTTAACTGGAGCCGTGAAACTCAAGCTACAAGGATGTTCGGAATGCCTTCACTGCCTCCACATCAGCATGAGCCGATGCTCTCCCTCTCCCAAACCCTGCTCGACGATCACTTCCTCGTTCCCCTGCCGCTGCCACGGAGCATTCGCGACTAACAAGGCAGCTCCATTTACCGGCCAAAACATCTCCATCAAGAAGAAAACAAACACAATAGCCGAGCTGAATGAGCGGCTCTGGCGTTACACTTCAATGCGACCCCCCCTGGAATGATGAAACGTGAAGCTCGGGATATAAATACTGCATCCGCCGCGGGTTGCAACAGGTTTCATTTCCTCACACAGCAACAATTTTCCTCAAATTTTGGAGTTGCCGATCCCTAGGAAAATGAAGGCTGCTTTTCTTCTTCTCTGGGGAGCGGCGTTGGCTTCCGCCCAGACCGTCTACTTCATTCGACACGGCGAGAAGCCCGCCGACGACGATGATCCCAATTTGAGCGCCCAGGGGGTGCAGCGCGCTCAGTGCTTGCGGAATGTCTTTGGCGCCAGCTCCCAGTACAACATTCAGTACATAATTGCCGAGAAGCCCAAGGGTATGTGACACTTGACACCCATGGTTCTGTTGCGGTTTGCTGTATTGAACGATAGGTCAGCTAACGGTATCAAATGTAGATGGCAAGCGTATCCGTGCTCTCAACACCGTTACTCCTCTGGCAAACGACCTCGGTTTGACCGTCGACACAAGCTGTGGCAAGACCAAGTCTGATTGCGTTGCGGACCTTGTCGATGACTACAAGGGCTCCGGCAACATCCTCATCTGGTGAGAGATCCATGTCTGCCGCCTTAGAATCTTGAACTAACAGCATGTAGCTGGGAGCACAGTGAGCTTACCAACATTGCTGAGTCTCTGGGTGCCAAGAAGGCTCCCGAATACCCTGACGACTCCTTCAACTTGATCTGGACCGACCCTCTTCCATATAACAACATCACTAGCATCACCTCCGAGAATTGCCCTGGCTTGGACTAGGAGACATCCGTTAGGATGGAGGGAGCGGGGAGCTCTCTTGTCGACTTGTATATACCCATAACATAGTGAATGATGAAGAGATGTATAAAAGAGAGGAAACTCTATGAGTTTTCCAATCCCCAGAGACTTGCGGCAAAATTCCTAGTTCGATCTCGTATCGTATCTGTCAAATGGTTATCATTGAAACTCGAGGGGATGTATGACGCAGATAATTTTCCCGAACAACATTCCTGGTCTCGCACTCTAATACCTGAGTCACCTACTGTCACATCACCTAGCCAGACAGAGGTATCTTGCATGAGACGAGTAGGCTCAAGTTATGTGTCTTTCCGATAAGGCATGTGATTATACATCCCTTCCTTATGTTACATCTGATCCAAACTGTTGCTGATACATCTGTCTCCAGTAAGGCTGCAGTTAGCCCACAAAGATATTCTTGTTCCAGCCTACTCAAGCACTGCCTAAAAGAATCTTCGTCACTCGACTTCAAGTGAGTGTTACATCGTTAGCAAACCGAGTGCGACTAGCCTCCTGAAATCGAATGCTCTAGCACAGAGACTAGAGTCGTCCAGCAGACGCCTCGGCAGTTGTACAACATCCATTGGCCAAAAACATAGCCGCTATAGCCGTTATCACAAACGAAGCTCAACACGCTTGATTTTCGCTGTCATCCACCTGCACAGTGCATAAGCCTGGTGAGTTTCCACTTGAGGCCCAATGAGACGTTGGTTGGCTTGAAACGGGCTCAATGTCGCCCGCAACCGGACTCAATGCGGAAATATTCACGACCTGTACGGCTATCGTGAGCGGGAACAAGATCTCCATACTGGGGAGCCTTGTCAGATATCGAACATGTGCAGTTTGGAAGGGCTTTCTTGAAATGCGCTCAATTTCCCACCATCCAAGTTGCTGCAAAAGCTCTATAGCCATTCCATGTCAGGATAATGCTCAGTCTCTTTCAAGCCATCATGGGCATTAAGCTCCTTGAAGCAAGCATTAGCTATCTCTCTTACGCAGCCCTCTGATCCATCATTTGTTGATCTTGATCGTCAACACAGAGCTGTTATGTGCTTAAGAGTTACTGTAGACTTGCGTCTAGTAGGGTAGGCTTTCACTTGAAAGCCGGTTGACATCCTCGACCGCTTATCATAAGATGCTACCCAACTCAACTGCTTGGACACATATGACACATCATGAGAGTAATGCCTTCTATGACGCAAACTAATATATCACGTTGCTACTCTCGGCGTTATTCTTTCTAGAAGCGACTGCCAGGCGCTCTTTGTCTAGCAGGTTAGAACGACGAGGCCGACTCATTGGTTGAAGACAACAACACCGTTACTGTTGGCAACTGGTCAGCTCCACAAACTGAATTGTGCTCAAGTTCCTAAAGCTTGAGACCAGGTGGATAGTCGGTCAAGCACAGTATAGATGGAGACATACTAGTCCCCCACGTATTGGATCTGATGTGAGCGCTAGGATAGGACTTCAGAGGGAGTTGGTTATAAGCACTACAGAATCGAGAGAGTTTCTCCTCGGCAGTCGCTCATCAGATAGCCGGGCACCGGTGCAATTAGGGGGGATAGCTTGACGTAATTCGAGCTCTGTGCGGATATATAAACCTGGGTCTTCAGGTCCATCGTACAAGTTGCGCATTGAGTCGTGAAGAGGGTTAACGAGGAATCTTCACCCAGGTCACTCACTACTCTTGAAGAAACGAAACAAAGACGCAACTACGAATCACATCAAAGCCATCATGGATCCTGCGCCCCCAGGAGGCATTGATGTCTCGCGGCCCACTGTCGCCCGAATGGTATGAGACTCGATACAAGGTATAAGAATCGATCTTGTACTGACATTTGAAAAAGTATGACTGCTATCTTGGTGGAAAGAACAACTATGCCTCAGACCGAGCCGCCGTTGCAGCAGTCGTGGAAGCACTGCCCAACATCTTCGACATTGTTGCAGAAGGACGTCACTTTCTACGCCGCGTCATTCGATACATGTGTTATCAAGGCATCGATCAGTTCATCGATGTTGGATCGGGACTACCGAGTGCAGACAACACACACCAGGTGGCCCAGAGAGTCAATCCTAACGCTCGTGTCGTGTATGTGGATATCGACGACGCAGCTGTTATTCAAGGGCGGCAAATCCTCAAGGGCGAGCCTTTGACAGCGTTCATACAAGGATCGGTGTTGGATCTAGAGCCCATCTTAAATCACCCTGAAACACGCAATCTCATCGATTTCTCGAAGCCAGTCGGCGTGGTGATGATGGGGCTGCTGCATTTCTTTGATATAAACGTCGACCGCGCCATTCTCCAGCTCTTGCGCGAGAAGCTCGCTCCGGGGAGCTTGGTCAGTTTCACACACGGAGTCTTGGATTATCAGGACAAGGATGCGGTGCGACGACTTCTCGATGCGTATGAGAGGACGCCTACGCCTCTGCTCATGCGAACAATGGATGAGATCAGGACGATTATGGAGGGATTTCCTGCGGTGGAGCCGGGACTGGTCTTGTTGCATGATTGGAAGATGGATATGGCTGAAGAGGGAGAGCCTGAGCCTCCGAGGTCACTTATCTGGGCTGGAACAGTGTTGCGTGTCTGATACACCGGTTATACAACAGATGATAGCATACTAGAGCGTATAGTTTTCCTAATCTACTAGCTGACCTGAATCATGAACTCAGTGTCTTTCCCTCAGTGACTAGGTAGAATGAAGCAATGTGCTGATACGGAAACCGGCATGGCTTTATAGCCAGTACTCACTCCATCGGTACGACTTGCTTTACCATTCCGACCTGCTAGATGATTGACAGAGGGAGCTACTGTGCTTTGAAATAATAGACTTGATAAAGAACTAATGGCCTACTTTTCGAGTCACTACTGTAGTCATTTTCAACCATCGAAATCTCACACAGGATGTTCATATTCCAGCAACTCTCCGCCCGTATATCCCCAATCACCCCTTCTTCTTCCGTATGGCAGACATGATTGCAGCCTCAATTACTAATGTATTTGTAAAGCTGAAAAGTTTCTTGAAAATCTCCAAATTTCAATGTCACCGATTGTACCATCGCTTATTCATCGCGAGTTGTCCCCTGGGTTGAATTGCGGACAACCCAAGGCGCTAACCGCTTGCGGTAGCATTATCCGCCAAGACTTGAGGATATTGGTGTAAGTCAAGAGATCCCGACGATGGAACTGTTCGAGAACCGCGGGGAATGCGATGATAATTGGATATTCCGGATGAGACGGTGATGATCACATTGTTGAGGACCAAGAAGGCGTACTTTAATATGTGGTCCTGTTGAATCCAAGCGGTATGGTCATTGTCACAAGTGGAGGTTCTTGGTAAGTCAAGCCACTGGCTCGAGTTGTCAAGCCTCTGGCGGAGATTATATAGCTGCTCTTGTCCTCTTGAGGCCGTCCTCAACCAAGCAACGCTTATAGGCTCCCCAAAGAACACCTTTAAGCAATAATCTCACAACAGCCGAATCATAATGTCAACCTTCAAGAGCTCCGTCAGCGTCACCCACATCGGCACAGCCACTGCCCTCCTCCAAATCGACAATGTCACCTTCTTGACAGACCCTTTCTTCGCCCCCTCTGGCACGAAATGGGACCTCCCCATCATTTCCCTCAAAGTCACCCAAGACCCTGCCATCAAACCCCAGGACCTTCCTCCCATTGACGCCGTCCTTCTCAGCCACGAAGACCACCCCGATAACCTTGATGAGGTCGGCCGCCAGGTCCTTGAAGGCAAGAAAGTCTTCACCACCAAGGATGGCGCAAAGAACATCGGCGACAAGGCCATTGTCACTGGTATGAATGCCGGTGACAAAGCCACCCTCGTCGTGAATGGCAAGACGTTTGAGATCATCGCGACGCCGGCTGAGCACGCTCCTCAGGGCGAGTGCATTGGCTTCATCGTCACTTCGCCCGACTTTGGCACCACCAACGGCCTTCCCAACGCCATCTACTTTTCCGGAGACACCATATACAACCGGGACGTTGCCAACAGCCTCCAGGGGTACCACATCAGTCTTGCTCTGCTCAACCTCGGCCGTGCAGCTATTCCAGTGGGCGAGCCTGAGCCCTTGGCTATTACCATGGACGGCAAGCAGGCTGCTCAGCTAATTAAGGATGCCAATATCGAGAAGATTGTGCCAATGCACTTTGAGGGTTGGGGTCACTTTAGCGAGGGTAGAGAGGAGGCTACCAAGGCATTTGCTGAGGCTGGTGTTAGTGACAAGGTTTTCTGGCTGCCTCGTGGTGACAGCAAGGCTTTCCTCTAAGCATATGCAGGATGCAGATCAAGATGTGTTTCTGAAACTGTATCTGCAGTACCATGGTTCTCGCAGTGTGTGAGAAGAAAACAGACTCAGTTGGTATCTCACTACTCCAATTAAACTCCATCATCATCTAAGATATACTGCGCAATATAATCGTACCCTCGGTCCCTTATGCCATCAATGACCCGCTCACACCACGACAACAATTCCCGGTCGTAGAAATGATTACATCGGAGAAATTGGTAGGCTATCCTCGTTGGTAGCATCGTAGATATGGCTCCAAATAGTCTCATCTCGTCTTGCATCAAATATTCAATGCTCTGGAAAACCCATGTTGACATTTGAATCGCCATTTCAGTGATGAGCGGGCTCTCCGGGCCTTCTCCATTGATTAGGAGATCTTCATCCAGTAGCTCTGGGTGATTTTTCCGTAGCTTCCTGATGTAAATGACGCACATTATCCAGAACGTCCAGTAGTGCGTCATGGCATTTGCTGTAGTAATGTCAGGAAACCATAGATGAGCTTTGTTGGGAATCTTGCCCAGGACGCGGAAGGATGGTTTGTTGGTAAGACCTGGGGATGAGACATTCCAGTTGGCGAGGGCTTCGAGGAGGTCTCTGAGATCCCCCAGGATCGCAAGGGGAGCTTTTGCACCGGGTAAGCCATACTTGAGTCTATCGATATCGACTAGTATAGACGGAATTACTGTGGCCTCTGTCATGAGAGCATGGAATGAGTTTGCTTGGACATATTGGAAAGGGACAGTCCTCCATGAAGGTAAGGCAAGAAACGTGGGATGTTTGTTGCGAATCGAATGGATGATCTAGTCGAAACTGTCAATAACGCGCAAAACCAGAACTCCAACGTAGCAGTAAGGTTCTCACAATGGCGGGGCGAAGGCCAATAAATATCCTGTGGGATGGCCCGCTCGAATAGGCTTCTGGACTATGCAGCTGAATCAGATCGCTTAAACCAGCGGCATGAGCCGCGCTGCTGGAGACGGCAGTCGGCAGGATAAGCTGTAATAGACACTTCTAGTCAGTCTCGGGGCACCATATATAGGGAATACAGAAGCAGGAAGCCCTGGCGCATACCTCCGAGATCATGAGGCACATGATGGCCACGGCCAAGACATCCGAGTCTGCAGTACGTGAGATGTCATGTAGGCTGTCATGCAGCGCATGCAAGGCCAAACAATGTGCAGTTAAAGCATCCGAGATGGGTGCTATCCCATTACGGCCCCTGGCCAGGATGGATACACCAAGCGCCTTGACGGACGAAGATAGAGCCATCTCATGCTGCCGACTCAAGGACAAAACTGGCAGAAGCTCGATCCAGGCCCCGCAGACCCGAGGGTGAATATCGACATCCCAGTTCATGAATGCAGAGTTGCTCGAGAGCACCGTTGGCGAGAAGTTCTGCACAACGAGCGAGATGATGTCCTGAAAGGGCCAGGCAAGGGATGGCCTCACCACGCAAGGTGCATCTGCGATTACCGGTCGGCTTTCGTGGAATAGCTCGTCGCTGGCATGGGTGGAAGTATTTGTTTGTGAAGTTGTGCATTTGCGTTGTTTCTTTGTGATTTTCCCGTCTTTGCGTGTTTTGGGCTTCGTTGGCGCTCCTATGGAGAGCTGCGACGGTATGAAGACGAGGTCATACTGATAGCCTCCACACTCGATCTTGGTTCCTGCGCACTGAGAGCACGAGGGACGTTTTCCGTCACACTGAAACGACCATACTTAGTTTGATTGATCCGAATAAATCAGGTATATCAGGTGTCAGAAGAGAAGGGGCAGTTGACAGTCGATAGAGGGAAATGGTTGGCAAAACTCGCACCAAAACCAGGCGACTCTCCGTCGTTCAATTACCACTCACCCCCAGTTTCCGTGCCCTGCAAGTGTGACAAACGGTCAACTTCCGAACCTTCATGGTGCCTCCAATTCAAAGAGCTTCAAATGCCCCATATAGGCAACATATGACGACGAACTGCTGGTTCAGGATAGAAGCATAAGCCGAGAGACGACGCTTTTAGCTGGCGATGGCCAAAGGGCGTTGACATATTGTGGAGATGCTCGTACGGACCGGCATGACGGAGCCGAAGATCCAAGGTGAAGCCGGCGAGCTGATTGGGGAAGTTCTCATGCGACACTAGACTCGTCGCGGTAACATAAACCGCCAAGGCGATGCTAGAGCTGAGCGGCTTGATAATGTGGGGAGATGGACGGAGACGTTCGAGTTTGACAGCTCAAGAATAGAAGCGGCTGGTGATGCTGCGAGGTTGCTGTTGGGCATGATGTTGTCTCAAATACAATGAGATACGTTTGTTTTCTTCAGGGTAGAAGCCGCAGGGTAGATTCTAATGTCCAGCCATCTTTTACATCCCACAATGCACAAAGAGATAGCTTAACTGCTGCTGTTTTGCTGCCTCCCAAAGAGCTAGGGCGTTGTAGGAAACTAATATTGCCGATATTACTTCATCGCGCATCTTAATTACATAGCAATGGAATAAGAATACAAAATAAGTTAAACTTATAAGGTATTTTCGACTTAGAGATATATAAAAGCTCCAAGACTAATCCCACCAAAAGGATTTTTAGCTGATCTTGACACTCAATTATCAACGTCTCGAGACAGATGATGTGGATTCAACTTGGACTGCGGTTCATATACAATCTGCCTCTCCCCGAGACTCTGTCGCCAAGTCCAGCGTCTTACTCTTCAACCAATATAAAAATTCTACAGTCAGATACGACATCTATCTAGACTGAGAAAACAAATGCGAATAAGAAGCAGCTGAAGAATAAGAAAGAAGGAAAGGAAGAACAATAGATGGAATCCAGCAAGAAGAAGAAAAAAAAGAAAAAAAGGAAGTGTGCCCCCACACAGATTTGAACTATGGACCTTCGCATTACGAGTGCGACGCTCTACCCCTGAGCCATAGGGGCATTTTTTCCGTTTTATCGCCGAATCTAGGCGCCCTATAGATCTAGGCAAGTGCGACCCGTTGAGTTCTGTCTCTTTCCTCTCGCACCTGAACGGACCTGCCTGTATCGGCATCAAACAACAGCGTCGTGCCTTCTGTAGATAGAATCGGGAAATGGAAGGATGTACGGACAAGAAAAGCAACCACAAAAGTATGACCAATCTCAACTCGCTGTATTTCAACAGTCTTTGATCCTATCTCAACCATCATCAATGCTACTTGTCGACAACCCGAATCCTTCGTCCTCTGATCAGAGGCCAATCAGTTGCACCCATGGCGCCTTACCTACACAGAAACGACCCTCGTCGCCAGCATGATCGACCTCCAGGCTGCAGCCGCTCTGCGATGCCCCGCTCTGCATCGCCTCAACTGTGCTTACAGCAACATCTTTCTCTCTGAGTTGAACGCTCGCATCGCCAGATCCTGGCGGCGTATAGAGGAAAGACGCAGAGACCAAAAATGGGTGAATCGGCATTCGGAGTGGATTCCAAGGTGGATTTGGATGAAGCCGTCTCGTTATCGGCATCCGACGAAAAGGAAGCCAGAGACAGCAAGTCTGCAAGCAGGTGGGCAGAGGCGTTGCAGAAGCTGAGCAAGGAGGATCAAGCACAGTTTGAGCTTGCGTTGAAGAGCCTCGACGACCCGAAATCTGTCCTTTCAAGTGTCCTCGCAGCGACCGACACACGAAAGGAAGAGTGCAAGAAGAAAAGATGGAAGCTGTCCATCAAAGGGCAGACTGTTATCATGAGAGATGTCCTCGAGAAGCTCAGTGCTTGGGTACAGAAGATCTTGGTGCGTTTGTGAATGCCAGTCGTACAGCATGTGCTCGTGACTTACTCGGTTCAGGCTGTTGGTGACGTTGTCATTCAATATGACCCCTCCCATATGGCACTGCCATGGGCAGCTGTGCGCCTCATTATGCAGGTCACCGTCAACGACATCGAAGTATTCGGCCATGTCATTAATTCGCTGGAGAACATCAGCAACCTCGTCGCCCAGTGCCAGCTCATCGAGGTCATTTATCTCGTTGACAGGAGAAAGTCAAGGTGAGTGGCATTCTTCTACGTCATGGACAGATAGAGCATAAAGGCTCATAAATCGTAATGTTGACAGCGATGAGCTGTTTGGCCAGCTTTCAGAGTCCATAACGGACCTCTACGCCGCAATACTCGGTTATCTAGCAGGGGCTCTGCACTATTTTGGCCTCAATACAGCAGTGCGGATTCTCAAAAGCGTCGTCGTCTCCAAGGACGATGTAAAGACCCGATACGAGCCCATCGAATCTGCGCAGGCCAAGTTCAGGCGTCTTGCGGAGATGGCAGAAGCTCAAGACTTGGGTAGTGTTGTCGATGGCATTCAAGGAATCGAGCAGCATCTGCAACAGATGACGAAACGAGACGCAGTGGAGATGCAGTCCCTCAAAGACGCCATGAAGCAGTTGAGCCAACCCATCAATCGCATCGACAGCCGCCTTGAACAGATCCAAGATGGTATTGAGCAACAAGTGCGAACACAAATTCTCAAGGCCATTTCCACTATCCCATACGGCAGTCACCACAAAACCGCCAGCAAAGGACGCTTAGAGGGCTCCGGCAGGTGGCTTCTGAGTAAGTCCGTGTTCGGTGAATGGCGAAAACGAAGCTATTCATCTGTGCTTTGGCTTCACGGAATCCCCGGTTCTGGCAAGACCAAGTTGGCGTCTCTCGTTGTTGATGAAATCAGGGGCAAGGAACACTTGGCTTATTTCTACTGCTTAAGAAATCCGGCTGAGCCACACCGAGCACAATGCGACAAAATCCTTGCAAGTTTTGTTCGCCAATTGGCGAGCCTTACACCAAGCGATCCGATCCTGCCACCCGTGATAGAGCATTACGAAGAGGCCATTGAGGGCTTCGTAGGTTTTGATGATCAAGCTTGGACGTCGGACGAGTGCGTCGAAGTTTTGCTGCGACTTGTCGACGAGTATCCTGCTGTCACATTTGTCTTGGATGCCTTGGACGAAGTGGACCAGGAAGACAGGCAGGATCTCTTGGACGCGCTTGACCGCATCTTGAAAGAGTCAAGCACGCTTGTGAGGGTATTTATCTCGAGCAGAAGCAACTACGACATTGCCCTTAAGCTCAGCGGGGCGCCGAACATCTACATCGAGGCCGATGACAACGCCGAGGATATCTCAACATTCATGTGCGCAGCATGCAATCCTCCCTCGAGGCCCTTTGCTAATTCCACCTTGACATCTAGTGAAACTCAACTTACATCCGCAAAATTGCTGCACGGAAAGCTTGCACCGAGTCTGCGTGCGGAGATTGCTCGTACGCTTCAAGAGGGGGCAAAGGGAATGTGCGTCGTCGAAGTGTTCCCATGGGTAAAAACACTTTGAAGGAATCGCGCTGACAAAACTCATTTTCTATTCAGGTTTCGATGGGTTGACCTTCAGATCCAGTCTCTCAAGAGGGTCAAGGTGGCTGCGGATTTGAAGGCACGTCTCGGCGCCTTACCGGCGACCCTTGAGGAATCTTACTGGGAAATCTACCAGGAGATTCGTGAGGCTGGAGATCATGCTTTTGGGCTCGCAAATTTCACTTTCCAATGGCTGCTGTACGCGCAGGAATCCATCTCCATTGAGGCCTTGGCTGTGCTCGCAAGCTCTGAGTCAACATCGGAATCCGAAACCGCCTTCTCCGGCGACGAGGTCTTGGATGTTTGCTCAAACCTTATCGTTACTCGTCAAAACTCGTTTGACTTTGTGCACTTGTCTGTTCGAGAATTTTTCGAGCGACTGTCAAACCGAGGGATACACAGCTATCAGCTGGAGGCATGCCACGCCGCTATCGCGGCCGCTTGCTTACGGTATCTCAATATGGCCATGGTCGACAACCGAGGGCTCGACTTACGGGAAAAGGTTATGCAAAATATTAAAGAATTACAGGTAACAATCTTGGTGGATATTAAGAACTCCAATGCAAGCGGCGTTTCCGACGAACAAGAGAAGGAGGGTGGCGAGGATGTTCAGGACGGCAAGGCTGGTGAGGCTGGTGAAGATGGCGGAGATGCCAGGGAGAACGGTGATGCAAGTTCCCAGGATAAAGGAACTAATGAAGTCGAGGAACCTGACGAAAGAAGTGAGGATGGGGATATTGAGGATCCTGCGGGCCAAGAAACCAAGAAGGATGCGGACAAAACAGCCAAAAAGATCGCCAAATGGTCAAAAAATATGGAGGACGACGACTTGATAGGCAGGAGCGCCGAGATTCTCGCAGTGGTATCATCCGATGATGATTACGGGCAACCGAGCGAGTATGCAACGACCTGGGTGATGTATCACATTGAGAAGAGCTTCAAACATCGGCTTGAAAGTCCTTTAGCCAACCTCATCAAGGCCTTTGTACTCGAGAAGAGCGGCGACTCTGGCGACTTGGCCTACAAGGTCTCCAGGGCCTTTCATGTATGGAGCGCTCTGATGACCAAGGTTGTTCGAGATTCGGAGCAAAGTCGAGAACTCAAGTGGGCAGCTCGTTTACCACCGAGTCCAATCTGGGTGGTCTGCCAAATGAACTGGATCGAAGTCGCCGAGTACCTCTACAATTGCTCATATCCTGGCATCAATGACGGTCGAAAGATGCACACAAGCGAGCGCGAGCTTGATGTCAACCCCTTGTGGTACGCTATCCTATCGAAGAAAGCCGACCTCATCGATTGTTTGACCAAATGCAACGCGGATGCGAACCGAGTCTTCATTGTCGACACATATGATGAACCCATTGTAACAGCGGCCAGGAAAAATGACACCGAGTTGATCACCATCCTGTCAAAGCAGAATTACGGAGGTCAGAAGGCTGCGGAGGAAGCTTTTGTAAGCGCAGCTAGTGGAGGATGTTGTGAATCAATAAATCTTCTGCTGGATCTTTGTCTTGTCTCGATAGAGAAAGCAGGGCACAATGCTTTGTGCTCTGCCTGCGCCGGGGGGCATCTCGACGCGATCAAAATCCTTCTCGAAAGGGGAGCTCCCACGAGGAGGGGCGGTCATATGCTATGCCGAGCGGTTTTGCACCGCAAGATTGAGGCCACACGGTTTCTTTTGAGCCAAAAGATTGGCTTTGATGTTTTGTCTACCGCTCTTGTCATTGCCCTGTCGAATTCGGACGAGACATGCGCGGATCTCTTGTTGGAGCACGGGGCGAAGAAAGATGGATTGGCACTCGTGCGAGCGATTCGAGACAAGACGGCCATGACTGCGCTGAAGCTGATCGAGGCTGGCTACGACGTCAACGGAAGATATCTGGACAAGAGACGGACTGCTCTACATTATGCAGCGCTGTCGGGGCAAACCAGGATTGTCGAGGCGCTCTTGGGGGCCTCTGCCGATGTGAACCGCGTCGATGCCAACGCAAGGACGCCACTGCATCTGGCTGCTCTGAATGGGCATGTTGACTGTGTGCAATTGCTCATGAAGCATGGGGCGGATGTGCTGTGCGAGGATAATCAGGGCAAGATACCCTTGGATTTAGCGGAAGAGAAGAATCATGTCGAGGTGGAGAGGGCTATAAGGGAGGAGATGGAGACGATGTTGAGGAAGTTGATGGCTGCGCGAGATGGCGAGGGCGGTGCTCATAAATCTTGAGACGCCTCTGAGTCTTCTATGTTATACGTAGGTATCTTCGAAGGCATCCCTTTGCTGCATTACCTTGTCTGGCATGGGCATCAATCTTCAACAATTAACCATCTTCAGCGCGACTTTGGCATTGCCGTTGGGACGACTGAAAGGCCTTCCTGTTCGACTCTTACCATATACAAGAAAAGCGATCAGGTAGTGTCGTTTTACGAAGAAATTGTTCAACTTGATTGGTGCTTTTGTATCAGAAAAGGGTGTGTCGATGAGCGACCATCTAGATGTGCGCATGCGTCAAGAGCTCTCTGCGGGAGGCCTACAAAGGAATGCTGTAAACCTGAGGCTCGGATGCATGACACGTCAACAAGCGTTTAGCCTAAGTGAAGTACCTTGGAGGCAACCATTCGGGCTGAAAATCCAACTCAAGTGAATTGGGGGTAAGGCTGTGTAGCCTCGCGATTGTTTGCCCAACTTCCCCGCCGGCGGCTGGCTATCCCATGCAGCTATCATATACAATCCGACCTCTCAAGAGGCACTCCCCGATTCTGATCACCCCTCTCACAGCTCGACCCGGGGCATTTCATATTTGACTAAATAACAGTAATAATTCATCGCCATCTCTGTTGATACGGATCTTCGACGACTCTTGGATATCTGCAACTCAACTCAGCTCGGCTCACTTAGAAGGGGTTGGAGATGGCAACCCCACAATTCGCCTGTGCAAACTGGAAGCCAGACAGCACGGATTGCAAGAAGTATGGCAGATATCGTTGCAAGAACTGCCTTCTCGTTGCGGTAAGTAAGATACATACAACACATTCCTTTAGGTGGCAATGCGCTCTTCTAAACCAGCCTTCAAATTTCCCCAGTACTGCGGCGCGGACTGCCAAAAGGCACACTGGGTCGTCCACAAAGCGGACTGCAGGTCTCCTCTCGGTAAAGAAACGTGGACGCCCGACTGGGTGCTGGAGAAGCGAGTACCGGCATTCATCGGAGACTCAGACAATGGGCAGGCGGTGTTTGGAGTGAAGAAGTTCCTCTGGGGCAATATACCTGCGATCGACGTGCTCCAACTTGGGTCGAATGAAGGTGATGGCTATAAAAAGCCATTGAACCTCTTGTTTGCCGGTATGTAACTACCAAGCCTACCATGGACACCGCTTTCAGCAGAGAAACTAAAAGGGGAACTGCCACTTTTGCAGCCTCGGGAGACCTTCGAAACGTTGTCAAGACGATTGCCCAGATCCCCAGCAGCTTCGAGGAGCCCGTCACGGTTGCAATCAACGACCGCGATATTGACATCGTGGCACGCAACGCCATATTGCTTCTCATTGCGCTGGTATCAGAGAACATGGAAGAAGCAGTCGACTGCATCATTCACGTCTGGTACTCGGCCCTCATCCGCAAGTCCGACCTCGAGATGCTCCAACAACGGATTCGACCCCTTGTCGAGAGCGTGTGCGAAAAGATCAAGGACAAGCCACGCACCAGCGTGTTGGCAAAGACCTTCACCTTTGGAGAGCGCTCCCTAAGGCTCGTTTTGCAAAAGTCGTCTTGGGACGCGCTCCTGGGTTACATGAGCATTCCGGCCGGCTTGACGGCCCAACGGGCGAATCAGATCCGCACAGCGGTTACCCTTGCAGAGTCTAGGAAGGATTATCGTCACCGGAACTGGCTTGTTCAATCCCCAACCCAACGAGTTGCGAGGCACCGGTTTCGACAAGACGGATTGTTGCTGCCATTCGGGGCTCCACGCGATGAGTTTCAGGAGCCAAACCCGTGAGTGGCATATGGCACCCAACTACCTACCTCTATAAGTCAAGTCGAAGTATCTCATGAGATCACAGGACAATGTACCAAACGGCCAACACTTGGCCGATGCATGACAGTGCTGATCCCCTCAATGGATGGTCACCGAAGGATGTTGAAGACACTTCGAGCGGGCCCGCGACCGCTGATATCTACGGCAAGCTTTTCTACCACCTTCGTGCGCTGGTCCACTCCTTTCTTCTTCATCTTTCAAAGCTGCGTGTATCCTTTCGACTGCTTCAGGTAGACTTTTCTGAGGTTCCAAAGCATGTCGAGTCAAACTATTTCAGTCGCATCGAGGTAAGCCTGTAGTATCTCACAGATGTCCAGGGGCAAAACGGCTGACTCGGGCACACACACACAGGTCTCCAATGTTTCAGACCGTGGATACGTCGGGATCCATCGCACAGTTGCCATGATGGCGCCGCTGCTCCAGGGGCCGCTCATCAATCCCCATGCGACTCTCATCACTCTCTTCATGAATGCCGTGCCAGAGACTATGACCATGGAAGAGCAGAGGGCCGTCATGTCTCCGCATGGACAAGCGATGAGACGCCTTTTAAAGTTCCTCCCGATGGAGCGTATGCCGATGAGCCCCTATGATCCCGCTTTTGTCAAAATGTCATATGCCTCGTCTGTTGTTGCAGCCTATGACCATATATTTGATCGGTAAGCACGAGATTCGATGAACTGGAGGAGCATTCTTGCCTTCACCACTATGGTCTCTCAGGAGATTAACTCGAGTGCAGATACATGAAGGTGATGGCCTTCTCCGAGATGGAAGAGGCTCTTGGCGTGGCGATGAAGGCCAAGCACACTGTGATCGAGAAGTGGCCGTATCAGATGAAACTACAACCTGGCCAGCCTGGGGCTCAGGAGGAGTTCAACCGGCTGGTGCGTGGTGATCTCTCTGGGAATGAGCGCTACGTGGAGTGGCGGCGAACAAAGATGTATAGAGAGGAAATGGATGGTGAAGCAGGCAAGGATCTGCTGGAGAACATGAGTTCATTGGACTTGCGGCGCTGAGAAAAAGGGATTTGCACTGATCGGTGAGCTTCTTGGAGAAAATGCTGCTGCATAGCGGTATATTTGATGCTTTGGAGGTAATTGCTATGAACAAGCTTGACCACCAATCACATAGATGTATCTTTAAAGCCGGCATGACTCTATCCTTTTAAATAGGTAAGCCAGCAAAGATGATGATGCCTTTAGCATAGGTATCTTGAGAAAAGCACAAAGGAAAAAGAGGGAAACAGCCAAATTGTTATGAATTGTGCTTTCGTTGGAATTGGAAGTATGACAAAAATGCAAAAAGAAAATCACCTCCGATACTGGGAATCGAACCCAGGGCTGCTCGGAGCTTCAATCGAAGATTGAGAGCGAGCGATGTTAGCCACTACACCATATCGGATTTATGCTTTGGATGCAAGGATCTCACACATACAGGCCTATAGAGGCTAGTGCAAGGTCTGTTAGTTGGTCTGCTGAAGAACCGCCCGCAGCCACTAACAAGCCCCTTGCATAAGGTAAGCCATCGTCCGCAGCCCTGAACTTAGACGGTTCCCCGCTCTCCGCGGGGCAGCTCAGCGCTACGACATCACTGGACTTGTAGCTCGTGATGCTCTATCAGATGACAGCTTCTGCCTGGTCTCTTGCCTGCCTCTCAACTCTTACACAAACAACGGCCTGAAATCGTCGCTGTTTCTACCTTATATATACTGGCTTCTACTGCTTGAGCTACGCCTTGCACGACAACCCCTTCACCAAGACGCTCGAACCCTAGCTACCTTGTATCGACCAAGCTTGCAGCGCAACCGTTACCATGGACGAGCCGCTTCAGTTCGTCCCGTTCACGTCCGAGATAGAGCTGCCGTTTTACTCGGCGCTCTTCTCGTCCAAGCTTGAATACGACAAGCTCGACGACTCTGCGCGCGGCATAGTGGGCGTGTACGAGGCGCGGGACGTGGAACCAGATGCGAGCTGCAAGCTCCAGATCCTCGGCAGCGCCTTGACGAACACAGAGTGGGTTGGAAGCAGTGCAAGGGAGGCAAGCCGCTGGAGCTGACATGTGCCCATAGTCCTCCTCTCGGAAAAGCAAGAGCCGAAGGCATCATCAGGAATGTCAACACCATCGAGGACTTCCGCAAGACCGACAAGGCCGCCATGTTGAAGCTGGCCGGCAGGCAGATATGGGACGCCATCAAAGACGGCAGCATATACTCCGTTCCTTCGCTACTATCCTCGTTCATCATCCTGTCATATGCCGATCTTAAGAAATACAAGTTTATATACTGGTGCGCATTCCCTGCGCTGCACTCGGATGCGCAATGGAAGCGCTCCGGGCCAATTCAACGACTCACCTCGGACGAGTCCACGGCACTGCTGGACCGGGTGGGAACATGGCGATACAGCGTGGACAAGCGCGAGCACGGGTTCTTCTTGGCCAAGAAGGTCTGGGGAGACAAGCCCCAGGATCTGCATGAGCATGACCCGGCGCACAAGATTCCATACCGGTGGGAGGTGGCTTCGCTGCGGCAGTTTGAAGATGGCTTTTTCGACGGTGTTGCGGAGGAGGATCGATTCGTCACATTCCTGGACCCATCTACTTTCCCCGAAGGCCCCTCGTGGCCGTTGCGCAACCTGTTAATCTTGATCCGCCATCGATTTCGTCTGTCCAATGTCAACATCTTGTGTTTCAGAGACGAATGGTCCAGACGGCATGAAGCTAAAAGCATCATTATCCCGATCAAGATGGACCCGGTCGACGATATGGAGATTAAGGAGATGCCCAAGGTTACAGGCTGGGAGCGGGCAAAGAACGGCAAACTTCAGGCGCAGCTGGCCAATCTGGGAGAATATATGGATCCATCTCGATTGGCTGATTCTGCGGTAGATTTGAACCTCAAGTTGATGAAGTGGCGTCTGGCCCCGGACCTGAACCTCGACATCATCAAGAACACGAAATGCCTGCTGTTAGGTGCCGGAACGCTGGGTGGATATGTCTCAAGGAATCTGCTGGGCTGGGGCGTCAGGAAAATCACATTTGTCGACTACGGCAGCGTATCCTTCTCGAATCCAGTTCGCCAGCCGCTTTTCGAATACGATGACTGCCTCAACGGCGGGAAGCCAAAGGCAACCCAAGCTGCCGAGATGTTGAAGAGGATATATCCGGGCGTGGACGCCGAGGGCCACTCCTTGTCTGTGCCGATGCTTGGCCATCCGCTCACTGATGAAGCGAGGACGAAAGCCGAATACGATATGCTCGAATCCCTGATTGACGCTCATGACGTCGTCTTCTTGCTCATGGACACCCGCGAATCCCGATGGCTGCCGACAGTGATGGGAAAGGCCAGGGGCAAGATTGTCATGAATGCCGCTCTTGGGTTTGACTCGTACGTAGTCATGCGACACGGCGCTGAGCCTACAGAGGAGGGCAAGGAGTCGCTCGGCTGCTACTTTTGCAACGACGTTGTTGCTCCTGCTGATGTAAGTTTTCAAGGTTTCTCAGATTGCTTGAATATCGCATCACTAACATTCATCGTGCGCAGTCTATGAAAGATCAGACCCTTGACCAGCAGTGCACTGTGACGCGCCCCGGAGTCGCCGCCATCGCCTCAGCACTCTTGGTTGAGCTCCTGACAAGCCTTCTGCAACACCCACTCAAGCACAGTGCCCCAGCACCTCAGCCAAGGCCAGGCGTCACCCTCGAAAGAGATCCCCCCAACCACCCTCTCGGTCTCGTACCGCATCAAATCCGAGGCTATGTATCCACCTTCCAGAACATTGTCATTCGCGGGCAGTCATACGACAGCTGCAGCGCGTGCAGCCCCAAGATACTAAACGCCTTCCGCACCGACGGGTGGGAATTCGTAAAGAAGGCTCTCCAGGAGAAGGACTACGTGGCTGAACTGTCTGGGCTTGCGGAAGTGCAGCGCAAGGCTGAGGAACTGGAGGCCCAGCTGGATTGGGACGACGACGAGGAGGCGGCTGACGAGGGCGATGGAGAACTGCTCTGATTCATCTTCGCCAACCTTTCCTCAATCACGGAATCACTGACAGTTTTACAGTGGCAAGTTTTCTATGTTTGGGTTCTTTTTGTCTTCTGGTATTGGAGTAGGTTTCTTGGTAGAAACGGCGTTGGTCTTTCTGTCTCTTACGGAGTACTCACTTCTTGTTCGAACATCTCATATCCCCAGGAGGATACGTCAGGAGGATGCACATGCCGTCTCCCTGAGTACTTGGTTATGGCATACTTACTTACCCTCTTGTATATAGGAGCTTCGAATGCTCCAGCAGATGTTTACAGTTCGGTATTCCTTCTTTCTAATTTGCGACCATTTGCATCGTGGGTTCCCATGTCCCTTTCGAGTGATTATGCTTGCGATAAATGACACATGTAGCTGAGCAATCGTCGTACCGGAGTGAGGTTTCGAACTCGGTCTCAGGATTGAGCCGTATAACCTTTGACTGAACGAGTTGCATCACCAATCACAGGTTCCGTGGTCTAGTTGGTTATGACATTTCGTTAACAGTTCAGTTGACACCACCGAAAAGGTCCCCGGTTCGAGCCCGGGCGGAATCACCACCTTTACTTTTTGCCTCTCTACCTTTTTGCGCCATCCACCTTTTCTTCCCCTTTCAATTGAAGTTACCCTAGATTTTCACATTTCTTGTTCCATAATCGACAGAAAGCTCAATGGTTGGTTGCCAAGACCCCAATTGTCCTCAATAATCAAGCACCATGTGTAGGACGCAAAAATTGTTCAATGTATAAATAATTGTGATTAGAGGAAGTCGGGTATCAATTCATTACAATAGCCAAACCTGATGCCGCCTCCAAACAGGGTGCATCTGCCTCCAGCCGACCAGAAGAAGAAGATAAAGAGTCCATGAAGGAAAGACTGTCATAACCGCGTCTATATCCGGCCACGTTGTGAGCCGGCGACCACTCCTCCACTGTCGCATCCGTATTCTAAAAGACTTCGCCAGTCAATGCCCGTTCAGATGCCGCAAATTGGTGGTGCGTGCATGGCGTGAAGCGACGGGGCGTCATGGCTTGAGCTTGCGGATACGATGGTGGGCGGCGTGTTTAGTATTTCAGTATGATGTACAGAGCGTGGATGATGCCGGGAATGTAACCTGAGATCAAACATGTCAGTAACTGATACGATGTTTGCAGCAGTGACGTGATTGAGGGTGAGAAAACGGAGGTGGTGAGAATCTGACATACCCAGGATCGTGAGGAGGATGTTGATCAGGAAGTCAGCGCCGCAGCCTCGCTCGAGGAAGACACCGACGGGCGGCAGGATGATGGCAAGAAGGATCTTGCAAATGTCGCTGAAGAGACGGGAAGGTCAGTGACTGTTCAACCAGAAGAGAGCTTGTGAATGGATCCATCCCGAGACCTCTCGTTGCGGTGAGGTCGCGTGCGCTCGAGGGAAGCGAGAGCTGATAAGCTGCGGGGAAGATGACGGAAGCCACGGGACGTCATGGTGAAGGGGCTTACCTTGCGGTGAAAGGCATGTTGGGTATCTTGTGTGTAGTTTATGCAAAGCTCAAGGGCTCAGAGTTGTGGATATATCGCGTGGTGTCAAGAGAGGTCGCAGTGGAAAGACCTTGAAGGCGCAAAGATGGTGGTTGCTTGGGAGAGGAGAAAGAAGATTATCTGCAAGGAGAAGATCGGAAGAAGTTTTGGGTAAGACAAATAGGAGGGAGAGGAGAAGCAGACCACACGAAGGTTTTTGGCAAGTCCGGGTACTATTTATTGCCCATTGGGCGTCATCCTTGGCTCCTTCCCAGACATTCCGAGCCAAGCCTTGGAGAACGGGAAGCCGCCTTCCATGTTGCGTCATCGACTGGTCAAGCCACAGCAGTCGATGCCCGTTGCGGGAGACCAGCTCGATGCTTGACCAAAAGAGTTACTGGCCATGTACATACAGTAAGGTACTTGTTGCAGACCTAAGATGGAACTTAGAACGACTCGGACATGCCATGGCAGGATAATCGGCAGCCCGAGAGATCTGTCGCATCATGCAAGGGCTACAGGCCACACACGCTGCCCGGAATCAAGCTTGAATCCGCATGTACCTCGTAAAGAAATGAAGAGAAAATCACAGGGCATACGTCATGAATCTACCATCGTGCTGCAGACCCCTGCTTAGTGCCGCATTTATTCTCCATGAGCAATCCAAAGCTTGGCCGCACCGCCACAGTCAAGCACAGCTGTGACAGAGCTCTAAGGCCATGCTTACGCCACGATTCCATCGCCACATGACGACAAGCCCCGGCCTCATTGGGGGGGAGAAGATTGGATGTGGGTGACGCACCAGCCACAACCAGCTTGCCGAACGCAATTCCGTGTCTGCCGGAAGCGCGGCTTTTGGTGGTGTTCTGGCTCGACGTATGAGTGACCTCAGCAGGAAGTTTTCTTCTCTCCTTGTAAGGTAATAATAGAACGCTTCTGCTTTGGCATGTGGCAGTTCGATGCTTTCCTTGCTCTTAGAAAATAAGGCCTCTTGCGCTGCTTTAGCTGCCGTCATGATGAGGCTGTGCGAAATTCCCATTCCAGGATCATACCTAGTAGATGATCGCACCTCTTGCAGCGGTAGAGATCAGTCATTGTGTGCTTTTTCACTGCATTTTCCAGGCCTCCCATCACGGGCCCCCCGCTGCTAGCTCGGGTCTTGGCTGAACGCAATCGCCTGACAGTCGCAGCTCTTGGCGGTGAATGGAGCCGCGGCCAGCAGTTGGCTTCTGTCCCTGTCCAACCATGCATCAGTCCGAACGCCGTGCGAGCCGGGGGCTGGATTGACTTAAAGTGTAGGCAGTTCCTAATACTGCAACGGCTCACAAGAATTGCAGCAAACGCTGTCTTTTGTCTGACAAGGTGGTAAGTTGGCGTAAAACCGGTTAATCAAGACAATGTCTGTTCTGCGGGCGCCCATATCATCGTGAGATCAATTTCTCCGAGCGCGGAGTGAGATCCGTGGAGTGCTGCTAGGCGTAGAGCTTACAGAAACAAGAAAGAAAAACAACTGACATTGGATGATTAGGTGAGGCCGTCCAGCCTCTACAATTAGTCCCCGTTTTCTCTATCCAGTTGTCCCAAATTAGTCCTGAACTCTAGGAGCGGCATCTCGTAATGCTCGACTCAGCATGCAAATGCCACCCAGTCCTCCGCAGTAGTATGTATGTCCCAGATAATAGACAACGCCCAGTAGATGCAGCAGATGATACCTCGGCCCTCACTCCTCCTTTGTGGTCGACGCAGCTCCTCCCAGCCGCTTGCCGTAAAACACCACGCCCGACAACCAGCTGCCCAGACATGAGCCTGCGTACAAGCCACAGACAACCGTGACAGGCCACCTCTGCCAGTCACGATCCCAGTCGAGCGGGATAGGTACCGCGCCCAGCCATGCGCCAAGAACCGCGCCCAACAGCCCGCCAAGAGTCTCGTCGAGAGGCGCAGTCAGTCCAGCCACGGCAACCAGAGCTTGGCTGTCCAGCCCGCGTGCGTAGATGACGGGGAAGACGCCAAGCAGAGAGAAATGCGCCGCGCAGAGAAACGTGTGAGGGACATGATCGATGAATGGCGCGCCGAAGAGGATGAAGAGCGCATGAACGACAGGAGTGGATATCGCGGCGAGGATCAAGGCAAGGATCGCAGTCTAGAGTTGACAAAGACGAGGAATCAATGTTAGCATTCTTCTCATGTCAAGCCAATGCTCAATCACTGCGATTCCATTGAGCAAATCCAAGTATGACAATGGGGGAGCTGCGTACCACCACCGAGCTCGTCCCGGCCGTCTCCGGCTTCTTCTTCTCGCCAGGACGAGTCTTCTTGGCCGCTTTCGCCTGTTGAGAGCCCGCCGCTGGCAAGCACAGCACCACGTACGCGACCTGAATCACAGCGACAACGGGCAGCGCAGACTGCAGCGTCAGCACCGGCTGTGCTACCAGATGCTCGAAGCGGGCCGCCAGCAGCCCGAGCAGGACGGCGACTCGGCCGAAAGAGACACCCTTGGCCAGGGCATTGTCGAATGTCGGGACCGCGGATATGGCGGCTTTCGGTTTGCTTTCTGTGGCTTGGGCGGATGGCCCTCTTGCCAGTGCTGAAGACATGGTGATTGCGTCTGCCGGCTGCAATATCGGGGTGTTGGAAGTTGAGCTGTTTGAATCAATTCGAGGTTTGGAGATCAAGGTTTGGCTTAGTCATGAAGTCACGTGCTATATCCTCGGCTTAGAGCAAGCTTCTCATCCCCCAGTTCCAACCCTGGGATTTCTCTCTCTCTCTCTCTCTCTCTCTCTACTAGTAGATCTGTCTGTGTGCTGCTTCATCTCTCTATGTAGGCTCCATTGCCTTCCATTGCGAATTTGTGTGCTGAAGAGCTTGCGAACAATAGATGTAATGGTATCGTTCAAGCTTACCCGTTGGTTCCACCCTTCGTGACCAACTGTTCGGACCTAGCCTCACAGTTGGGCCCAAAAACCCTGTTCCACCCCAAAACCCGTTCCAGGCAGCTTTTTGGTGCGCTTCCCATACAATCCAAACCTAGAAAAAACAACAACACGTCAACAACAACCGATCCACGACCCCGATGCCACAAATACCACCCGCAACGCATAGAAATCAGCAAAAAGCGATGGAATCGATGTCAAATTACCGATCTTTACGACCTTGATTTTTTTCAAATTACAGCGCGTTACAGCGGACCTTACAGCGCGTTACAGCAGACCTTACAGCGCGTTACAGCGCGGTTGTTTTTTTCGCAATCGCAAAAGGCCAAAATAACGCATCTCCCTCTACAGCCATAACAACCCCTGTTATTAAACAAATACTACATATAAAAGCTATTCCTTATAGCTTTCTGATTATAATGCTACTTTTATTTTCTATTTTAAAGGTCTTTTAGATTTTTCCTTATATATGTAAAAGCTGTAAATTTACTAGTAAAAAATTGGAACGGTTTTTGGGGTGGAACAGGGTTTTTAGGCCCAACTGTGAGGCTAGGTCCGAACAGTTGGTCACGAAGGGTGGAACCAACGGGTAGATGTGGGTAAGAGTCTTCTGCTGAACTGACTACAACTTAGAGCGCTTCCACAATATAGGTATCCATCATTATCCTCGCACTCTCGCTATCCGCAGTCTAGATATCAGTTTGAATGTCGCATGAATATCGTCTCTTGATGGCAGCTCTCGGGCCAAGGCGCCCCGTATGCCGAAGCACGCAACTCCTAGTTCTCCCGCGCTCTCTCCATCACCTGCACCCACATGTCCTTGATGTGAAACAGCCCGAGGGCGTTCTCAGCGTGCCAGGGCTTGTCCGGTTGCATCACGGCAATGTCAAAATATCGCAGCAGCTACAAGTTGTGTCAGCATAAAGCACGGCAGGGACATGAATAAAAAGCGGTAAGGAAGCCGCAGCTTTCTTCCCTTCACCGCATGAACAGACGTACCTCAAATATAACCTTGCCAATCTCAATCTGAGCAACAGGCTTACCCAGGCACTGATACTTGCCGTGCCCGAAAATCAGCTCGTTGGTGCGAAGCATGACGGCGAGCTTGTCCTGATCCTCCTCGAACCAGCGCTCTGGACGGAAGGCCTTGGCATCTTCGCCGTAAATCTCGGGGCTGCGGTGCATTGCATACGCGGAATATCCGATATTGGCGCCTCCCGGCAGAAAGACCTCCTGGCCCTTGATCTTGACGGTATCGCCCTGGGGCGGAATGTCTCGCGAGAAGATGTTGGCGACGGGTGGCATGACTCTCATGGCTTCGCGGATGGTGGCCTGGAGATAGGGGAGCTGCTTTGTCTGGCTGTGAGTGATGATGGCGCCCTCGCGGGGTGCTTTTCCAGTCTGGACTGCTTCATCAATCTCCCTTTGAAGCTTTGCGTATACACGCGGGTTCGTGATGATGTGCAGGAGGATGATGCGAATGGCAGACGATGTGGTGTCAGAGCCAGCGACAATCTGTTCAAGGGCCTCAGTCTTTAGGTCGGCGCCGTGGATGCCGTGGCGGATAAAGGATGCGAGCATATCGGACCGCTTGTCTGTCGGGTTTGCCTCACGCTCGTCGACATAGCGGAAGCAGGTTGCAATCATCCTGCCGAAGCCGTTTTGGGTCTTTTCTGAGGGGGCAATGAAGCGGCCGATGACGGGCGCCTGCGCGATCCAGCTGAGGCCTATGGCGAGCGAGAAGTTGGCGATGCGGAGGCCCTCCTCGGCAGACTGGAGATAGCCCTCGACGTCGGTGTCGTTCTTCAGCATGCCAAAGGTCTTGCCCAGGCCAACGCCGCTGATGACGTCCAGGGCGAAGTACTGGACCTTCTTGGCCATGTCCACGGGCACGATCTTGGCGTCTGTGGAGACATACTTGGATCTGATCAAGTCGAGGAATTCCTGGACACACTGATCGATGGCGATTTCCAAGTCGAGGTTTTCTCTTCCGGAATACTAGGCGTCACATCACGTTAGCTTGCAAGATTGTTGGCCGACAAAGGAGGTGGTGTCACGGCATACCCCTGGAGCCATCTGCTTCCTCCTCTGCTCATGCTTCTTGTTGTCCGTCTGCGAAAAGACATTGTCACGCCCATACTCGAGGCGGCAGGCAGTGTAATACCAATCGGAGCGCTTGTATCCGGGCTTGTTGTTTACATGAATCCACACATCCGGGTCGGACGTAATCAGGAGGTTTGGTGCAACTCTTGCTATCGGGCCTGCAGTTTACTCAACACACAGAATGATATTAGTAAAGGGCGATTTGCTGCTGGTGGATTGCTCCCTGAGAAATGGGTCGTCGCACCGTATGTTTCACAAACCTCCGCATACCACTCGTGGCATCTCTCCTTGAAAAGAGCCTTCCTGTGCGGCAGATTGGTGAAATGAGTCAAGAAGGGGCCTTTGAAGGTCCTCAACCGGTTGAACTGGATGATTCTTCCCACAATGAAGAGGCCGATGAGACTGCTGGCGAGGAGGACGACGGAGATCGGGATCCCAGTAACGCTCTCCATCTCTTGGTATTGGTGTTGTTCGGAGTCTCTCTATGTGAAATTCGTTGACTTGATAGGTAGATTGCTTTGCTGAAGCGTGGAGCAGCAGCACGTAGCAATGACCCCGCGTGACAACTTTCACCCGGATGCAACTCTGATACCGGGAGACGGGCCTCCAGATACGTCTACCGGTTCGACTCTCGGCGTACGAGGTGTCACGATCGCTGGTGAATCCGAATCGCTCTCGAAGATGCTCAAGGAACAGACAAATAGGGCACCTGCTTGCCTGGTTGATAACCAGACTAGATGCAGTCAGAACTCGAGATACTCCAAACTGCCAACGAAGCAGCAGCCATGAAGCAGAATCAAGACTTCAGAGTAGAAGAAGCAAAAAGAGGAAGAAGAGGAAGATAACATGGGTGGACCAGAATGATCTACAGCTGGGAATTCTCGTATATAATATACCTAGGTAGTAGCTCTGATCTAGTAGTCTCGAGACCCTTACCTGACTTGACTGGGTAATAGGACTCTCACCTATCCGACTATGTGTCCAACGAAACCAAGAAAGACATGGGCAACCCATCCGGACCCCCTCACCTCATCATAACTTGCCCTCTTTTCCACTTCCTAGTTCAAGTTTCCTTAGCTCTCTTTGTAATAGCACAACAGCAACGGGTAGACGGGATCTGATACCGCTTTTCCCCGTCTACTAGTCTGGGGCCTGGGCTACTACCACCACCACCACTACTAGTATTCCCCATTCCATTCCAACGACATCCTCCTCCCCGTCTGTCCTACACAACAACGACAGCCCGCGGAGAATTGTAAAACAGCAAAACAAAACAATAACCGGGATGGGGATCGCTAGTAACAGGACCCCAGGAGCAGCCTGCAGTATTTAGTGTGCCGGGCTACTGGATTCTAGTGGCCACGGCTTTCGCTATCAGCCCACCAAAAGCTTTGGAGGGACCGTGGACACGACCACCCCCCCCCCCCGTTTTTTTTTGCCCCGTCCAAGCCGTTTTGAACTTCTTGAGAGCGGCCGACCCAGAGAAAACCGAGCCCCGGGGGCGCGGGATCATGGCGCTAGCAAGGGGGCGAGAGTTGGGCCGCCGTTGCGGTTCAAGAGAAGGGGGGGGGGGACTTGATTGATGGTTGGAAGAAGAGGGAAAAAAGCTGGAGACGGAGCTTTGATTCCTGTTTCTGCGTGTTTCACCTGTAAGGGGTGTAGACGGCAAGGACTAATACATACAGCTTATACTACCTCGGTAGTACTAGCGATGGCCTCTGTATATTGCGATGAACTTGGATGCATTGGACCCGTGTCGCTGGGACGGCTGGCAAATGAAATGGACCGAGTTGCTAATCCCAGTCAGCCTAGGCATGCGACGGACCTCTATGTAGTACATACTGCACATGGTAGTAATGGACATGGGACATGGGGCACGTTCGTTTAGAAACGGAAAAGCTGAGCAAAAATGTGATGTATAACAAAAACGAGTTGAGCTGGAGTCTATGACATACTACCCATTCGCACAAATCACTCATTGAATAGCATTTTTGATCGCCTAGAGCTCCCCCCTGAGCAGTCACTTCTCACCAACCCAGATTTCCAATATTCTGGGATACGTAATTCACATCACATGTTGCATTGCGCTGAGAACCGCGGCGTACCATGGCGCTCGGTGAGGTTCCCTTGCCAGTAGGTAGTAGTAGGGGGGGGCAAAGGCGGGATCAGTTCAGCATGTCTCAGTGCATTGAGAGAAAAGACAACGCAAAGACGAAATTGCTATGGAGCAAGTCCATACGGGGATTAGCTAGTTGAGTATGGTACGTAGGTAGGTAGGGACAGGGAAGGGAGACGATTGCGGGCAACACAAACTGGGGCCGTCATCGTTCAGGGATCGGAAGCAGTGCGACTCTGTGCGAGAATCTAAGGGACTCGGTTTGTAACTAGTACCATTATCATGTCAAGTCTGCCTAGAGCAACGTACGCAATACTAGGTAGATAAGTAGGTAACGGGTGCTGTACCTGTCAAGGCGGGAAACAGAGCTCCAAGCGATGCACTCGTGCCCGGTTTAGGACGACGGTTCTGTTCACACGTACATTCGTAGTGCCGTATAGCGCATGTTAGACGATGTGATCAGTAACAATATTACATGACAAAACGTGCAGCCCAGCCAGCATCACATGAACAAATCGACCTGCTTCTTTCATGGGTATACAGATTGGTTGCTCAGCTCAGGTCTCGTATATGTACCCAAGGTAAGGTTGTTAGATACTAGGTAGTAGGTAGGGCAAGGTAGGTAGGGGGTAGGTAGGTAGTAGGTAGTAGTCAAGGTAAGATGCCAACAATCTCGAATAGAACGCTGAAAAAAAGAACAAGACACTAGACGCCAGCCAAACACGAATCAATGTTCCCAGACATCGGGCTTCCGTGCAAAGACATTCGTACTGCATGTCACACACACACATTGGTTAGTGCCTGCCTGCCAAATGACGGCCATGGGGGAGAGGTCAGCTGGAATGCGGAAAGACACTTACAGAATGTAGTATGGTCTGATCTTGGGGTTGTTGATGGCCTTGCGCATCTCGGCGACAAAAAGCTGCACCTCAATGTACTCCCACCCCATGATTTCCTTGAGCATGAAGAGCGCGAAGCCCTCGAGGCTCTCGTCGAGGAAGGCGAGGTTGTACGCGCCAATCTGCTTCATCGTGGGATCGCTGCTCCAACGGCCGCTCGGCACCTTGTAGTTCTTCTCGACCACGTCGACGAAACCCGCCTCCTGCATCAGCTTGCGCATCCTGCCGCCCGTGCCGATGAGCAGCGTCCGCCCCATGCGCTCGCCGGCCTCGGTAAACACCTCTGACCAGCGCTTGAAGATGTGCTTGGGGTCGTCGCGGACTTCGGGCACGTCGCTCATCAGCGTGATGTTGAACTCAAAGTCCTCGATCCAGCCGCC